ATAATGCCTGTTACTGTCTTTATCCTTTCTGCAAAAATAAAGCTAACCTTAGCTTCTTAAATGTGTAAAGATCTATCTCTTGCAGGCGGTGGGGAGGGAGGTCAGGTCATCAAGGAAAGCAGTTTGCTTCCAGTTGATCAAACTAAATTTGGGATGGAATCTTCTCTGATGCCTTTGGAGTTGAAAGGAAATGCTCAGAATTGCCTTCTTGAAAGTACCATGCCACCTTGTGCCCAGGGTGATGCTTCTCAAGCTGTTGATGTTGCTGCTGCTGCTGCTGCTGCCGTGGCATCATTAGAGGAATCTGCTAGACTTGGCGAAGAAAATACTGTTGTACAACAAGCGTACAGAAGGGAGATTGTTGTATCAAGAAGTCAGGTTATAAGCAACAGTGTCAAGCAACCTGAAGTATGTGTGTTCAATCAATCAGAGCTAGAGGGGGTTCATGGTGAACTTGTGAAACAAGGTAGAATTACTGCTGTGACTATCCCCAGGTATTTGAATCTTGAACCCTCTCTTGCAATGGACTGGCTTGAGATCTCATGGGACGAGTTAAATATCAAAGAGCGTGTTGGAGCTGGTATTTCTTCTCCCCCTTTTTCTTTTATGACACGGATATATCTTTACATATTTTATTACTCTACCACTACTTCTTTTCCTAATGAAATCTTATACTCCGTTTTTTTCCAGGCTCATTTGGGACAGTGCATCGTGCTGAATGGAATGGATCGGTTAGTATTTTGTTCCTTGTGATTTGATGGTGATTACTTGTTTCTCGAGTAAAATTTTGTTTGGATACAACATGAATACTTAATCTGCTCTATATGTGTGGCCCTTTCAAGAGGATTAATTTTATGAGAGATGCATATAATGAGATTGCTTAAAAGCATGTCATTGTAGAGCTTGGCCTGTGTGTGTGCTCTATTTTTTATTTCTGTCTTTGGAGTAGGTTTTGTAACTTTTGGTGTTTCCACCAATTTGATTAGATGGTTGAGTGGAATTTAGTTTTCTGCTTAATATGTTCCTTCCTCTTGAGATGTCTTCGGTTGGATGCTGAATAGCTTCCTTGCAATACATACATCAGTGCAGTTTTCTGTTAAAGCTTTTTCTTTGTTTGTTCAATATTTTCCTTAAATTAGTAAAATTTAGTGATTGTCCAATGCAGGATGTTGCTGTCAAGGTGCTAACTGTTCAGGATTTCCATGATGATCAATTGAAGGAGTTTTTACGAGAGGTAGATTTCCATGTTCTGTACAGATCATCAGTTTGTAGATGATCACATCGTAGCCCTTATTTGACTATTGTGTATTGTGCTGTGTGTTTATGATCATACTTGAAGTTCACTTTCACATTGTAATTCAGGTTGCAATTATGAAACGTGTCCGCCATCCGAATGTAGTCCTTTTCATGGGTGCTGTTACAAAGCGTCCACATCTGTCAATAGTGACAGAATATCTGCCTAGGTATTCAATTCATTTTAGTTCTTCTGTGTATAATTCCATAGACATTCTTGTGTCTAAACCTTTTGCTATCCTGGTGTCCGTGGAGCAGGGGTAGTCTATATCGTCTCATACACAGGCCAGCTTCTGGGGAACTTCTGGATCAGAGGAGGCGGTTGCGCATGGCATTGGATGTGGTTCGTATAATTAATCATCATTGTTTTTTTTATTCACTTGCTGTGTTTTCTGTTAGTGAAACTATATATGCTGTCTTCAATGCAGGCCAAAGGGATCAATTACCTCCATTGTCTTAACCCTCCTATCGTCCATTGGGATCTTAAATCTCCCAATTTGTTAGTTGATAAAAATTGGACAGCGAAGGTAAGTTAACAAAAAAAGGTTTAACATTTTGCTTTGAGTTCTCCAATTGGCATAGTATGGACATAATTAATCTCTTTCATTTATCCTTAGGTATGTGATTTTGGGTTGTCCAGATTTAAGGCGAACACTTTCATCCCATCTAAGTCTGTCGCGGGAACGGTAAGCCTCTCTCTCTCTCTCTCTCTCTCTCTCTCTCTCACAACACACACAGAGAGGTTGTGCGTGAGCGTGCACAACTAGCCTTTGGGGTGGTGCCTATAGCTCCCCAATCAGAGCAGGGGTGCCAAACCAGACCGTACTGGAAAATCTTTATCATCCTTGATGAATCTTTATTTATTTATTTATTTATTTTCTTTTGGTCAATGATTAATCTTTATTTATGTTAATTGAATGATCTGGTAGTCCAGTTCCTTCTTCCCAAGAATAGGATGCAGATTGGTCAATGTTTGTTGATGTGGTTTTTGTCTCATAAATACTTGTTACAGGGATTAAATTCTTGATTTCTGCCATCATGAAGTTACCACTTCACATAATTTCTTTTATCAAGTAGAGCTTTCTCCTAAAAAAATATAGAGGTGTTCAAACATTTTTCTTATTTTGTTTTGTTTTTTCCTATGTTTCACATTTTAGTCTCTTTCCTCATTTGGTGATGTATGAATGCTTTGAGTAAATGACTATGAACTCCTTTTTTATGTCCTCCATATAAAGTCAGGTATTTCTATCAATATTTTGCAGGTTGAAATTTTACTTCGCAGTGCATCAATCGACATGTAACTCACTAACTTTTCTTTTCAGCCCGAGTGGATGGCTCCAGAATTTCTTCGCGGAGAGCCCTCAAATGAGAAGTCTGATGTTTACAGTTTTGGAGTAATCCTCTGGGAACTTGTAACAATGGAACAACCTTGGATTGGTCTTAGCCCTGCCCAGGTACGAGTCATGATTTGCATCTACTTTATTGTGCCTTCTCCTGCACATTAAATGTCACTTCAAATCTTTATTTCCAATTTTTTCGCCTTTTGTAAACAAGGTTGTTCTGTGTCTCAGGTAGTTGGAGCTGTTGCCTTCCAGAACAGAAGGCTTGCTATCCCAGCCGACAGCAAACATTAACTGGAATTCAACCACACCTTGTTCTTTTCTGCTTTAATACCTGATTAGTGTGAGCTTGATATACAATGTCGGCCCATTCCCCCACAGCTTAAGCTTCAGGGTCTAGTGGTTGCCTAACAATTAATACTTTTATTCAACGAAATATTTGAATGTAGTGCTTTGAAAGACATTTCCATCATATTTTAGAACTTGCAGGTGGCAGCATCACTTGGATCTTTCCTAGCCTACTTTTTATCTACAAACAGACTGACTTTAGTCTTTATCTCTCTTGACAGGACTTGTATGTTTAGTTTCTCATTTTGTGTATTCTCTTTGGCAGTGATCCTGCTCAGCGCCCGTCTTTTGCTAGTATAGTTGAGTCGCTAAAGAGGTTGCTAAAGTCTCCTCTGCAGTTGGTACCCGTGGGCGGAAAATGAAGGGTGCTTCTGCCCATAGCTGAATCGAAGAGTTGATCGTTATACGTTCGGTAGTTAAATCTCTACAACTGACTGAGCTTCTTTGGTTCTTGGCAATTATACAAGTGTTTCTTGTCTAACCCAATTAGAAAGCAGTTGTACCCCTCATATGAACTGAAGGGAAATGAATGTAGTTCCTTGTGTATTTATGTGAGTTTCTAGTGTGGCTAGCGTTTTCATGATAAGCTATTTAGATCCCCCTCAAGAATTCGGTTCGGTTCGTTTTGATTGAGGAGCTGGAATTAACTTTGATTTGTATTTTGTTTTGTAACTGATAAGTCTGATATGCATCTGGGCTTCAACAAGATTTGTTACCAAATCATGTTCTTACATTTCAATGGCAGAATAATGGAGGGAACTCCTACCAAAAATTTTAAGCACTTATACAAGATTTGTTACGAAAACATGTACTTATATTAAATGGCAAAATCATGTAGGCAACTCCTACCCAAAATGTTAAGCACAACGGAAAAGAAATTTGGTAAGTGCAAATATGCTCGAATTGGATGATGCTGTTTAACCCCCAGTTAACTTTCTTCAGTATATTCAGTTGTTACTCATTCCAAAGTTCAATCAAATTTCATGCCAAAAGGACAGAATTCCAAGTCGAATTGATTTCCTTTATTCTTTCTTTAGAACGATCCTAATTGCATCAAAATATTTATCATTAGACAGATTGTCGATTGAATCGATGAGATAAGCACCCATATAATCACCAATAAGGTGTTAGTTGGATTAGTCCAGATTTTTGGTGTGCTTTCAAGTGATCATGGTTCAAGCTCAATTCGTACAAAAAGAAGGTTGTACTTGTGTTGAGTTTTACCCCCTTCCCTTTTCTAACTTTGGCAACAACAAAAAAACACACCTCTATAATCTTTTTCAAGAATTCAAGCAACTATATAAACCCTAAACCCGAAACTCGGGAAAATAGAGTTACAATCTCTCTGTCACGAGATTAGCGAAACTCAATAACCAAGGCAAGCATGTCCAATGTTCCACGATTAAAGCTGTGTTATTGGCAACACACCCATTACTTGTCCTTGTGTATAATGGAGAGACATAAGAAATACGAGACCCGGAGCCGAAGATAAGGAAAGATGGCATCCAAGTTGCCAAACGTGACTAGTAGATTTCTTAACGCACAGATAGAGTTCATCTAAAATAAGTACATTAGATAGCTGGTGGCGATCTAATCATCTTCAACTCAAACATGAAAGTCATTGTCTTTTGAAGGATCAAACAAATAAAGTGGAGAGAACAAATATTTCAACCCCAAAAGAGAACAAATAAGAAAGTGTATTAAAAGAAATTACTTCGATAATTCAAGTAGCTAAGAACATTTATGTTTACCCCCTGAGGTTCATGGTTGATTCCACTATCCTATCAAAATAATAGTCATAGCTCATAGGTCCCTCCCAACACCAACAAGAAGGCGGCTTCATTAAATATCCAAATCCTAAAGCCAGGTGCCAGTCAACATAGTCGACCCGTCCCTCCTTCCTCCCCAATTCACAATCTAATCCCAATCTCACAATTCACAAACAAAATTCCCAAAATCCAACACACAGACATCCAAGACAATCCAGTCCAGTCCAGTCCAATCCAATTCAATCCCAAAATGGTGTCGCAGATGGTTAAAGACTTGTTTCTCCAAGCAGGCCTCATCCTCGTCGTCGTCGTCGCCTTCCTCGCCATCCACAACATCCCCCAGAAGCTCCTCGCCAACCTCCGCTTCCGCTTCCGCAACAAACCCAAAGCGCAAGCCAAGCGCCACTTCGTCCTCGGCGCCCAGCTCCTCGCCCAAGCCCGATCCGCCGCCTCTCCCTCCTCCGCTTCCTCCCTCTTCCAGCAAACCCTCGACGAAGCCGAAAAGGCCATCTCCCTCGACCCCAAGGACGCCGCTGCCCACATCCTCAAAGCCCTAGCCCTCGACTCTCAGGGCTACAAGACCTCCGCCCTCGACGCCATCGACATCGCTCTCTCCCCTTTCGCCGCCAAGAGCCTCACCGAGGAGGAACGCGGCGATGCGCTCGTCAAGAGGGCGGAGATCAGGCTGTCGATGAACCGAAGCAGCCAGGTTGACTCGGTGATCTCCGATTTGACTCGGGCTGTGGAGCTGAGCCCGGAGAATGTGAAGGCGTTTTGTACGCTCGGAGAGTGCTACGAGGGGAAGAAGATGACGGAAGAGGCCAGGAAGGCCTACGAGGCGGCGCTGAAGGTCCAGCCCAGATTGAAAGTCGCGAGGGATGCTCTCGACCGGCTCGGTTCGAGTTAGACGAGTCGACTCGGCTCGACTCGGTTCTATTTATATTTTGTTTTAAATTTGTGTTTATTTTTCAATTAGAATGATCAGAGGCTTTTGTGACTAACAGTGTGGTGCAAAATGCAACGGTATTAATTATGAGTCTGGTTTTCTTTGTCTTTTTGTTAGTCTCGTAACATGGAGGAAGAAAAACGAAATTCCAGTGATGTCAAAAAAGAAGAACCATTTAATTCAAGTGATTGAAAAATGTAAATTCTTGCAACGCTTATCAGAAATTTTCTTATTTATGTATTATTTCATTTTGTAGAAAATGTTTTTAAAAAGTCCCTTGGGACAGACATCCGGCATAAAAAATGCATCTCGGCCACTTTAATAAGGGGTGGACATTTAAACTGGTGAATTGACTCGAAAAAGCCTGAAGAAATGGTTCTGATTTGAACCGATTTGGTGTTTGATTCTTTGTATTTTGAGGTGGGGTGATATTGTGAATAAATAATTGTGAAAGTAATTTCACTAGGAAAATCCACTCCAACATCCAATTTCTTATCTCTTTGCCTAAAACCATACAATCCAAGGATAAATTTCTATTCAATTGTCTGGATAAACAGAGGAATTCCAAGGTCAACAACAAGGAGGAAACTCAAGAACATGATAACCTAAATCAACCCCGTGAATAAAATCATTTATAAAAAATAAAAATCACATATTCATTATCCAACCAAGTCAGGATAATAGATTTTCTGAATTACATTACAACTTCAGTTTTGCTAATAGAATCCCCTGAGATTTCACACTATCCTACCAATAACTCACTCCATACATATTTGATAATGGCTAATTTATTCAGTAAATCAAGATGAACTTCAGTGTTAATTTTGAGTAATGATCCCTAAATTTATATCCACAAATTATATTTTATTACCTCAAAATAAAAATAAATGAAAAAAATTGATTAACTTACCCCGAGTAACCCAACTCCCCCACAACTTTTTCTAAATATCCCTAAATGTCATATATCTTTAAATTCCTTGTCTACCCCTAAACTTAACAAAACAATTCAAATGAATTGACGGAAAGACTGATGTACGAGGGCGTGGTTGAGTTGAAGGACTACATAAATTAAAAAACGAGTTGAATGACTAAAATGTAACTCGTGGATAAATTCAGAGGCTATTGGTCGAAATGAACATGTACATAAAACACTATAATCTTCTAATATAGTAAAGTTGTTGGCGGTCATCTCCCACCTTTGGAGCCGAGTGTTCATTCCCCCTTCCTGTAATACCCGCTTGTATGGAAAAAGAAAAAGAAAAAACCAAATATCCTGAATTAAATTCTCATTCAAAATGGAATCTCCTAGAATTGATTAGGTTGCCCTTTGCTACTCTATATATAGCATAGGCTTGTCTGTTAAGAAAACCAACAAAGGCATCATCTTCTTCCTAGTTTGCAATTTTCATTTCATTTTTTTGTTTTCTGAGAGAGAGTCATGTCTAGAAAGAAGGTGAAACTGACTTATATCAGTAATGACTCAGCTAGAAAAGCAACATTCAAGAAAAGGAAGAAGGGTCTGATGAAGAAGGTGAGCGAACTCAGCACCCTTTGTGATGTTGAGGCATGTGCTATTATTTATAGCCCATATGATACTCAACCTGAGATTTGGCCATCCCCTCTGGGAGTGCAACGCGTTCTTGCAAAATTCAAGACCATGCCGGAGATGGAGCAGAGCAAAAAGATGGTGAATCAGGAGAGTTTTCTGCGGCAAAGAATTGAAAAAGCCAAGGAGCAGCTCAAGAAACAAAGGAAGGACAACAGGGAGAAGGAGATGACACGAGTGATGTTCCAGAGTCTCACTGGGAAGCCCCTCCAGGGTTTGAACATGATCGATCTCAACGACCTCGGGTGGCTCATCGACCAGAACCTCAAGGAGATTCACAACAAGATTAAGAGTCTGAATGAGGAGGCCGAGAAGAAACAAGTCCAACTGGAACCAACAGGATTGTCAGTGCATGCAACAGCAGCAGATCAAGGAATAATGGAGAGGCAACCATGGTTCACAGACATGATGAACCCTCAAGAACAGCACATGGGGCTTGGTGCTGGGGATGAGATGTTGCTGCCATTTGGAGATCAAAACCACATTAATGCTATTTGGTCTAATAATGCCTTTTTCCCTTGAAATATTTACTATTTAGCGTTTGTTTTCTAGGCTAAGTGATTTCTTTGATAATTTTAGCCTCTTCTTCAAACGAAGGCTGTGTTCACATTTAGTTTCTTGATGAATTTTATGTATTAAAAGTAAACTACAATATATAGTGGTTGGTTGGTGTGTTAATAATCTTCTCACTGTTTAATTCCAATATATATTGAAATATTTACTTGATTTATTGTAATTGCAAGTAATTGTGAATCTTGTTTTGCTCTGCAAGTAGTCTAACTTTGTATATACCTCTAGCTCAGATTACACCTCGAAAGCTATCTATCTCTCTATATATCTCTGTTTTCTTAGATAAGAATTAGATAATATTAACATTATTCATTGTATGGATTTCCGATTAGTACTGGTGATCTTATTGTTATGTAACGGGTTCTGTGGGAGCCCACTACTGAATCCAAGCATGTACAATTTGCTCACTTTATCTACTTAGGTCCAATACCTTGGCCCAATAGACCTCTATACGAGGGGCTTTAACTTAAAAGGCCTCAGTGCAATTAGTAGCTGACCTAACTCAGCTACCAATTGTTATGTCACGGGCCATACAAGAGCCCACTATTAAACCTTAGCATGCATCAATATTATTCCCACCTTAACCACTTATGTTCGATAATTAGGCCTAATGGACATCTATATGTCGAGTTCTAACTCAAAAGGCCTCAATGCAATTAGTAGCGAACTTGACTATGAAACCAATTGTTGTGTCACAAGCACTGTAAGAGCCCATTAATAAATCCTAGTATGCACCGATATTGTCCCTACCTAAACCACTTAGATCCAATACATATTGGGTGGGGTTAGAACAAATTCACCTCTAGGGGGTGATGTTTTAATTCAAAAGTCCTCGATAACTATACAAAACACCATAATCTTCTACTATTGTAAAATTATTGGTAGTCATTAAACTTGCACCCAATCTATAAATAAATATAACATCTTAATAGTATAGCCGCGCAACACTCTATAAATATAATATTTTAATAGTATCGTCGCACGCTATACTCTATGATTGTAATATCTTCAAAGTATAGCCGAGCGGCAATACTCCAAAATAGAATATTTTTAAAGTATAGCCGAGCGACTATACCCTTTAAGTAGCATAATATGGATTTCTCTTTTTTAATTACTTTGATTAGTAGTTATGTTTTAGTTATTATTTACTTAGTGAACATTAAAGGAAAAAAATTTGAATTACTATTTATTAAGTAATATAATTCATGAAGTTAATTAAAAAAATTAAAACTAATTATTCACAAAATAAATAATAATTAAAATATAATTACTAATTTAACTAATTAAATAAGGCAAATATATTATTTAATTACTAACAATACAATTTTAAAAAATTAATTAATATATATATTTAAAAGACCTATCCCGACGAAATTTTGTCGGCACAGGTCTATGCCAGCAAAGATTTGCCGGATTAGATCTCTCTCGACGAAACTTCGTCGATAGAGGTAGTTTTCGTCGGGAGAAGTCTAATCCAGCAAATATTTGCCAGCATAAACTTGTGCTGACGAAATTTCGTCGGGAGAAGTCTAATCCAGCAAATATTTGCCAGCATAGACTTGTGCTGACGAAATTTCGTCGGGAGAAGTGTTTATTTATTTAAATTTTTAATAAAATTAGTTTCTTTATTTTTGTTTTTTGGCCAACTTCTTTAATTTAATAATGTAATTAAGTAATATCTTATCATTTTTGAATGACTTTAATTAGTAATTATGTTTTAATTATTATTTCTTTAGTGAATATTTAAATATGTCACTTATTTCATAAATTAGTCAATAAAGACCTTAATAGGATTGTGGATTTTTTATGTGGGGTGTTCACAAAGGGCACCTCAAAAGATAAGCCTATAGAGAAATCCATATTTTTATTGTTGGTGTATATTTAAAGAGTATAGCCGTGCGGCTATACTCTATAAATAGAATATCTTCAAAGTATAGCCACCCGGCTATACTCCGAAAAATAGAATATTTTAAAAGTCCAGGCGCACGGCTGTACCCTTTAAGTAACATAATATGTATCTCTCTTTTTTAGTTACTTTGATTAGTAGTTATGTTTTACTTAGTGAATATTAAAGGAAAAAAGAAAAAATTTTATAAAAAAAACCCCAAGTGTGCCCTCTCTATGACTTGAACCCTGACCTTGAAGTTAATAATTAAAAAAAAACTAGCCCATCCAATATTAAACATTTCAATATTGTTGCTTGTTATATGTATTTGAACACCACTCTCCATGCTATATTGCTACAGTAATACAGCTTTTTGACCCATAAAAAATGAGTCCGCCCATCACTTACTGTCTCCTATGTTCAAAATTGAAGTTTAGTTTGCATGACATTAAGAAAATGTAAGGAAAACTTGTCTGTGTTGTTAAATTGGAAACCTGTCTGTGCTGTCATATCAAATCATCAATTAATCTAACGAAAATCAATATGAAATAATCTAATCAAAATGCATATCAAATTATCAATTAAACAAACAAATCATAATTAATCATACCTCGAGTCATGGGCCATGCACCCTCTTCCTACTCGAGTTTGCTATTGATCATGCGAGAATACATAGAAAGCCAAATCAGAAAATTAGAAAGAAAAAAAAACATAACATATTATAAATATAAAAAACCAAACATGACCAAATAAAAAATAAAAAATAAAAAAAGGAATCGATTGCTGAAGAATAAAAAAATAAAATCAGAACCAAACCTTAAGGTTAAGGCTTTCTGGGAGGGATGAGAGGTATCAAGTTATCAATATCAAAGCGGGTTGGGCTTTCCTTCTTCAACATAA